GACATATGTGGCAATTCTCAGCACGCTTGTGGGCGACTTGGTCCTTCGGCGTCATGCGCATGGGGGCAGCGGTGTACAGCCTTTTCCTAATGATTTTCTCTTCCTGTTGCAAACACATCAGGAATCGATTAGGCCGCTAGGACCTCGGTAGATGACTGGGCGTTAGATCTGTCCATCGCATCGGACGACCACGCGCACCGAACCCGCAGGCTTGGTGTTCTTGGGTCTTGCACGTAAAACTTTGCTCAGTGTTGGGGACGTCGTGGTCGACCCGTTTGATAAGGGCTTCGAAGTCTGCGTAGATCTGATGTTTGTGGTTGGTGAATTTCAAGATGTTGTCGCCTTCCTTAGGCATGTCAATTCGCCGTCTCTCCTACACCTAGGCAATCCCCCTGGTGCGCTTGCAGCAGGTCGTCTCGCGTAAAACCGTGCAGACATCGTTCGCAGAAGTGTTTCTTTTCTCTGTGCATCGATTGATCGTGCAACAGCCGGCTCAGATTTTTTATTGCCGTGTAGTGATACTGGCTGTCTTTTTCGATGAGGAATATGTTGGTTCTACACACGGTTTTATCACCAACAGGGCTTATCCTATGCGCGATGGTTTTAGTCAGCCGTGGCGAACACGTTGACGCCACCTTGTTTTGCTTTTCGAATTGCGCCCAGTAGGAGATGGGTGTTAAGCGTTCTACACCCGTGAAGTCGAACCCGGATTCTTCGATCGATGGATAGCTGTAACGCCTGCCTGGATTACCCATTGGTTCATGCGTAGCAGCTATGACAGCCACCACCGCACAGTAATCGTTAACATCTTCGCCTTGGGTTTTGGGGTTAACGAGGGCCTTTTGGCCTTGAAATGCTTTGGGCACCGGTATGTGCGACCCACCTTTGGCGGCATGTAGTTCGCTATGTCGAGATAAGCGGTGTTGATTTTGTCTACCACCCATCCAGAGCCCATATGGGTATATCTCTCCAACGACTCTTGTATTTTCTGCAACGAGCGTCGATGGAGGATTCAATCAATTCTGGTTGGGTTAGGGCTTCCTGTTTGCCTCTGAAATAAGGTGCAACATTACTCAGTACTGCCGTCCGTATTCTGTTTTTGGAGCTCCATTTTCATCGTTAGTTGGTACTTGATGCTTTTCAAGTCGCCTAGTTCTTCGCGGAGTTTACTAGCGATGTGGGGTTTGACTGTACTGGTATCGATATTGGAATCAACCGTCATTATCCAGCCCCGGAGATACTTACCCACGGTGTGCTTCGTCGGCACAAATCTCAACTCGACTGGCCTGGTGTCTTCCAGCAAGGTGATCAGCTCGGCTCTTCTAAGGCGGGAATAACCCTTCAATCCCCGTTCTTTAGCACAGAGTTTGAGGTCTCGCACGGTAGGGGGCTTGGTATATTTCATATCGAGCAAGGTGAGCAGTTGGGGTTTCCTCAAGCGGGAATAACCCGTCAGTCCACGACTTTTGGCGAGAGCTTTGAGTTCGATGACAGTAGTCATGGTGTATGCCATATGCGGAGCCACATGTCTAATAGGGTGTTTTCAATGTGCAGATAAACCTGTCAGCCTTCAAAAAATGAAGAGCCCCTTAAACTTTCGTCCTGAGCAGCCGGTTACGTTCGTTGAGGTAGTCTTTCTTCTTATCGTAAATAAGTTGGTTTCGAACTACGTCCCTCCCGTGGTCTTTGCACAGCCCATAATGTCCTTTGACCCCTATACCACATATTTTGCATACGTAATTGACATGACCCTTTCTCACACAGTGGGCATGCGAGTGGCAATATTCAGTCATACAGCGTTTGCCGCAGGTTGCTGGCTTGCCAAGCAATACCCATTTGCAATAATGAGTTCCCACGGGCCACATGTTGTATACCTTATGCGGAGTCAAATGTCTAAATGAATGTTACATGTGAAAGGGGTCCGGGGTTTGGGGCTTGGGTGTTGCTGGCTTGTCGGCTGGGGAAACTGGTTTGCTATGCTTCCAGGTCTTGTGGATGACCTTCCAGAGTAATACAGCAGCTATCGAAACATAGGTTAACCTTTGGGCTGATTCTACCATCTCCCGCACCTTCTGGATACCTAGACGGGTGTCTTCTTGTTCCTCTTCTATTTCCTCCAGGACTTCGTCATTGTCATCATCCTTGTCCAACCTCGACAGGATGTCAACCAACAAATTCGTGGTAGTCGATGATGTATTCGATGTTGGGGTTTGCTCACTACGAGTCTCGAGACTCCCTATCGTGAGAAGTCCTGGATGGTTGGTAACGTACTACCGGGTATTGTTACTTTCGATCTATCCCGAGTCACCTTTTGTGGGACGTCGACTGGCACCGATACTTCTGGTTCTTCGATTGTTTCCTTAATCGGATGTCTCCATATGTCGTAGAGTCTTGTGGACCCAATACCGAAGCGCTTTTTGACCTTGCTTGCTGGGAGCACCCCTCGAGGGCGTATTTCTTGGATCTCATCCAAAGGCAAATCTCTTTTTGGTGGCATGGTTGTTTTTTCTGGGCATATGTATACCCATACTTCCTATATGCCTATATGGGAATCCCAATCCTCTCCTAGGAATCCCAATCTCCCCAGGAATCCCAATCCTCCCCAGGAATCCCAATCTTTCCCAGGAAACTCCTAGCAATGCTTAGCAATGCTTAGCAAATGCTTAGCAATGCTTAGCAAACCTCTAGGTTCTGTCTAGTGTGCCCAGTTTGTCTAGTGTGCCCTAGTTTCCTATATAGACAATATTTTGTGAATGTAGATATATTGAGCAACCAAATGCCTCTAAAAAAGACAACTATCGCAAGACCAAGTGGAGGAGATTCGCAAGCTGCGTGGAAAAGCCCAAGCACAAGAACTAGACAACGATTCGGCATCGGTTCCAATCGACTGCGTAAAATATGGAATACAGACCCTGGAGAGAAAGTGTCGACCCCCCACACAGACGCAGCTAGCCACTAGGGCGCCTGCCGGCAGCGCATTGCCCGCTAGCGAGGCGTATTGCCTGCTGCAGAGCTAACTGTGCTCCCCGGCCCAGGACTTCTACGACTGCTTGGGGAGGCTTGTGTGGAGAAAACTGCGTGTGATGTCGCTCGCGTGTGGTGTACATCGAACGATGTCTCTGCTCGAAATCATAGAGGTGTATGGCCTGTACACCGAATGGTGTCTCTGCTCGAAATAGTAGAGGTGCATGCCAGGGGTCTGGGTTGAACATCAAATGGTGTCTCTGCTCGAAGCGGAATTGGTATATAATGACGCTCTTAGTCGGCCTGTCACAGAATCCCCATGCTATGACCGGAAAACTGGTGGCTGCTTAGCATCCGGCACCGTCTGCGGCTTGTAGTCTACGGGGACGTATTGCAGGCTGTTGATTCCTCCTCGTTCCCGCCCGGGGTTGCCGAAACTCATGGTACCCTACAGATTTTAAGGCTCCTATAGGGGTCTGGGATGTGCATCGAATGGTGTCTCTGCTTGAAATCGTTAATTTATACTGGGGGCTGGAAGCGGAATTGATATATAATGACGCTCTTAGTTGGCCTGTCACAGAATCCCCATTCTATATACTACTTGCCGCAGTGAAGCATGAATACCCCACTCATTAAACTGACTCCGAGCCGACCTGTCCGTGTTGTACCCAATAACGCCGAGAGCGAGGCAGGGACCAACAAGTACCATATTTAAACATGCATATACTAGGAGTATACTTAGGCAATGTTTTGTTTATTTAGGTTCACTGAGAATCATAAGTTCTGTTGCCTTATTCTGCCTGCGTCCCTGAGACGAGGTGGGGTATTGTTTTTAGAATGTGATTGTAAATATTAGTAATAATAGTAGTCATATATGTGAGTGATAATTACAGTACATGTCTTTGATTAAATCTGGATATTAGATAGTATTAATAGTATAGTGGCATGGTCACTATGGTAACTATTTTGAGTGTATAACATGATATGTATTGCATATATGAGAGACATGTATTAATTGATGTATATTTTATCATTCAGGGCGTTATGTTACTGTTCAGTCAACTGGGCATCTCCATATCCCACACTACCAGTTCCGGAATAAATCCCTGAAACCCTACACATTGAGCTACCATCTACGAATACCTCTGTTACATGAAGTCAATATTTTTATTTTTATCCGACTGTTACATTCTGCATGGTATTTCTTCAATTATCAATAAAGTCAGGGATGTATGATTATAAATTGGCAATACAGGCCTTCCGGCTGCCTTGACAGCAGACGTAGGAGTATCACTGATTTTATTACATTGAGGTCAGTGATAGTATGAGAAATATTTGTTAGGTTTGAATGCGGCAATAGTTGAGGAATTATTGTTGAAAATAACACTAGGGCTGATATATATAAAGTCAGTTTTCACTATTTCATCAATGCTAAGTTACTTGAGACTTACACTGCCTCGTGTTCTAACATAGGAAATGCTGTGACAATATACCAAATTTTCATGCATGCGTTCTTCCCATTATATCCTGTGTCAATTCATATTGCACTTGGAGATTAAACAAGTTTATACTTTTCTAAACTAACAATCACCGCAAAACGTGTCAGTTAACAGTAGTTTGTTGTGTAAACGACCGTTTGTCAATGAAGGTGCTGCAGGGCAAAGCCCAAGCTTGGCTCATGTGGAAAGTTGTCGCAGGGCAAAACCAATAACAAAACCAGTCTCCAGGAATTGCTCTGAATCAGTGTCCCTTTAATCATGACAGAACCAGGAAAGGGAACGAATCAGCATTCTAGATTGCTAACGAGAGTATCGCTATCAATGTATACAGTAATAAGCTGCAACTCTGGTCAACCGAAATACGGCGTAAATCAGTTAACCTGTGATTACAGTGGTTAACGTTGGAGACTGGGCAGCGCGCGAAAACCGAGAACCATATTACAAACCGTCGAGGGAAAGCCCTATAGTTGCCTCTGTAACACGTGCCCAGCATCCTGTTCTAGGGAACTAAAAGAATACAGGAGCCAAACCTCTTACCATCTGATAGTGTCTGAACTCGACATGTTAGCCTTTCTGTAATGGGGCGCAGACCAACGACAACACCAGCTGCTGTGTCAGATTGGGGGATTGCTGGGCCGGACCGAGCCGGGCCGAAAAACGGACCACAATGTTATTGGCCAATTACCCCCATTATCGACAACAATGCCTGTATTTTACCAATGCAACAGACACACAAATGACATTACGTCAGAAATGCATCGTAACATTACTGCGAATAAATCGCTTCAAAATATGGAAGGTGGGTGGTTTTGTGAGCCGGGCTACATATAAAAGAGGAAGTGTTAAACGAAATAGGATTTGAAACGTTTAAAAATACCTCAAAGTATCGCGATACAGATTTCATTTTCTTCGGATACGCGATACCCTCTATGTTGACAAGTGTATTATTCATTTTATTATTAAATTAAATAATTATCACTATTAATTACCTTCTTAATAGTAATGGTGATAGATTATGTCATTTTTTGCAATAATTTTGCAGTAACCATCCTTGATTATCTCCAGGGTATACGTTCCGTGGAGATTTAGCGGAACGTATACCCGGGAGATTATCGAGGATGTGCAGTAATACGAGAGGATAAATATGACTAAGAATTACAGTTTCCTGTGTGTTTGGTGCCATAGTGGTGACTATTTTGAGTGATGTTGGTAATTTTACAGTTATCACAGTGGTGACAATTTGCAGCAACTATTGCAGTAAAGGTGCGGAAGTAATGTGATAGGATTGTCGCGTTCAGGTAACAGCTTAATTTTTGTTTGTATGTAAATTGGTATGAATGTATAGAGTGTTTGCATTTAGGTAGCAAGAGTGAGTGTATAAGTATTAAGTGCAGAAAATATGTGCACTAAGTTTGTATGCAAAGTGTGTAATTTTGTAGTATTTAATATCAAATTGTGAATGTGTGAGAGTTAATATATGTATAAAACTGTGTAAGATATGTTATATTGGGATTACACTTTCTTTGTAAGTACAGATTCTAATACTTTAGATGGGTTGAGTCCCATCCGGGATTCGAACCCACGCCCTCAGAAACAGGCACCTAATCGCCAGCCCACAAAGTCAGACGCCTAGACCGCCCAGCCACCGCGGCTTCAACAAAAATGGAAGTCGGACAACTGGTAGTCTAGACAGCGGACTTTGTGTACCCCTCCGATAAGAAGAAAGAAAACAAAAGTCTAATCCCATATCTTACAAAGAACGTGTAATCCCAAATATAACATATCTTACATTTGACCACTTTCTAAATGGCATTGTGTATTTCATAGCTTGCGCCCGTGGGAGCTGTGCCAGTTAACACTTGTACAGAAGTAAAAGTAAATGTTTGGAAGAATATATTTTGAAATGGAAATAAATAGGAAGGTTGGAGGGTTCTAACAAGCTGAGAATGTATAGACTTTTAAACATGATTTTTACTCTGAGCCTTATGTTACTTATAATATGCCCAGATGTTATCGTTCAGCTATGACAAAGTTTAGATGCGATGTAGCCCCAATAAGAATTGAAACTAGGCGGTATGAAAATCTACATGCTATTGATACTAAATGTTTTTTTTCATGCAGATTGTGTCGAAAACGAGTTTTTTATACTGTTCCACTGTGATATATATAATGATATTGTTATTCCCATGATGCCGACTTTAATGTTTTAACAGATGCTGAAAAACCATGCTGCGCACGATTGATACAAACCATTATATGATATGTTGATGTGGCACTACACACAACACCCTATACACCATTATATATCGGAGGGTGTCACAGCCTGATATGTTGGATGTGGCACTACACACACAACACTATACACCATTATATATCGGAGGTTTAACTGTGTCACAGCCTGATATGTTGGATGTGGCACTACACACAACACCCTATACACCATTATATATCGGAGGTTTAACTGTGTCACAGCCTGATATGTTGGATGTGGCACTACACACAACACCCTATACACCATTATATATCGGAGGTTTAACTGTGTCACAGCCTGATATGTTGGATGTGGCACTACACAACATCCTATACACCATTTATATATCGGAGGTTTAACTGTGTCACAGCCTGATATGTTGGATGTGGCACTACACACAACACCCTATACACCATTATATATCGGAGGTTTAACTGTGTCACAGCCTGATATGTTGGATGTGGCTACTACACACAACACCCTATACACCATTATATATCGGAGGTTTAACTGTGTCACAGCCTGATATGTTGGATGTGGCACTACACACACAACACCCTATACATCATTATATATCGGAGGTTTAACTGTGTCACAGCCTGATATGTTGGATGTGGCACTACACACAACACCCTATACACCATTATATATCGGAGGTTTAACTGTGTCACAGCCTGATATGTTGGATGTGGCACTGGATGTGGCACTACAACACCCCCTATACACCATTATATATCGGAGGTTTAACTGTGTCACAGCCTGATATGTTGGATGTGGCACTACACACAACACCCTATACACCATTATATATCGGAGGTTTAACTGTGTCACAGCCTGATATGTTGGATGTGGCACTACACATACACCCTATACACCATTATATATCGGAGGTTTAACTGTGTCACAGCCTGATATATGTTGGATGTGGCACTACACACAACACCCTATACACCATTATATATCGGAGGTTTAACTGTGTCACAGCCTGATATGTTGGATGTGGCAACACCTATATACACATTATATATCAGAGGTTTAACTGTGTCACAGCCTGGCATACACACCACCCTATACACCATTATATATCGGAGGTTTAACTGTGTCACAGCCTGATATGTTGGATGTGGCACTACACACAACACCCTATACACCATTATATATCAGAGGTTTAACTGTGTCACAGCCTGATATGTTGGATGTGGCACTACACACAACACCCTATACACCATTATATATCGGAGGTTTAACTGTGTCACAGCCTGATATGTTGGATGTGGCACTACACACAACACCCTATACACCATTATATATCAGAGGTTTAACTGTGTCACAGCCTGATGCTAGCAGGAGCAATCGCCCATTCTCAAGTACAGATCGTGGTAGTCACCCATATTCTTACATCCCAGTTTCTTCCACACGCTCTGCGCGGACGTGAATCATCCTGGGAGATAAGTGGGATTCGGGTCAGGTTGCTGTAAAATTGGCCGAGCAGGGAGGTAACGGGTTTCATCGAATTTAGCCAATCATCCATGTAATTTGTATGTAATACACCCTTCGCAGGGGCCGAAGTCTCGCATTGGAAAATGGTCAGTGATGGGAAGGTGTCATTGGCTTTGACCAAACTATCAAGCTGCATGACAGGAGGGCATCGCACTTTTCTCAGATTGTGGAAGACCACGGGATGTTGGTTTTAGGTTGATTCTAAGCTGGAGATTGCACTCGCTATGGGCGGCAGAATTCCGTACCGCCGTGATGGCAGTGATCTCCTCGGCTAACATCCCCATTCAGCGCCCCCTGACATGTATGGCAATTCTCAGCACGCCAGGGCTTAATTTGGTCCTTCAAGGCCAGCGTATGGGGCAGCGTGCCGTTTTTCCGGCCGATTTCTCTTCCTGTTGCAAACACATCAGGAATCGCTCGGGCCGCTGCTTAGGACCTCGTAGATGAGACTGAGCCGCTCGTCTGTCCATCGATCGACTAATTTCACGCACTGGGAACCTGCAGGCTCTTGGCCCGCACGCAAAACTTTGCTCAGTGTTAGACGCTTGTGGTCGTAATTCAGCTTGATAAGGGCTCAAGTCTGGCGTGAGATCATGTGGGCACAGGCATCTGATGTTTGTGGGTTGGTGAATTCCCCAAGATGTTGTCAGCCCTTAGGTACGTCAATTCGCCGCCTCTCCTGGGCTAACACCTAGAAGTAAACTCTGGTGGCGCGCTTTGCAGCAGGTCGCCCTCGCCAGAAAACCGCAAGTGCGGCATACCGCAGAAGTGTTTCTTTCTGTGCATCGCATTGATCGCGGCAACAGTCGGCTCAGATTTTATTGCCGTAGTGATACTGGCTGTCTTTTTCTCGATGGAGGAATATGTTGGTTCTATTAATATCGTCGACACCAACAGGGCTTATCCTATGCAACGACATGGTTTTGAGTCGCCTTCGTACGAACACTGACGGCCACCTTGTTTTGCTTTTCGGAATTGCGCCCAGTAGGAGATGGGTGTTAAGCGCTCTACACCCGTGAAGCCTTCAACCCGGATTCTTCTACTCGATGATTAGCTGGAACGCTCGCCTGATTTGGCTCCATTGGTTCACGCGAGGCAGCCATGACAGCCACTCACCGCATACATCAATCGCTAACATCTTCGCCTCTTGGGTCTTTGGGGGTTAACGGTGGGGCCTTTTGGCCTTGAAATGCTTGGGCAATCCGTGCATGTGCTTAATTCCACCTTTGAGCCGCACATGTAGTCTCGCTATGTCGGTGCATAAACGGGTGTTTGATTTGTGTGTACCACCGCATCCAGAGCCCATATGGTATATCTCTCCCAATCTTAATTTCCTTTGTATTCTTCTTGCAACGGCGCCGATGGAGGATTCAATCAATTCTGGCTGGGTTAGGGCTTCCTTTTGCCTCTGGAAATAAGGTGCATCGACGATCAGTACTCGCCTACCTCGATATTCGCTCTTTGGAGCTCCCATTTCATCGTTAGTTGGTAACTTGATGCTTTCAAGTCACTTCAGTTCCCTTCGCGATGCCGCATTTAGCTTATGTGGGGTTTGACTGTACTTTCAGTATCTAGTATTGAACTTCAACCGCCATTATCCGTTCTCCCGGAGATACTTTTACCTAATGGGCGCGGTTCTGGCCTGCATGTAACTTCTTAACTCGACTGGCCTTGGTGTCTTCCAGCAAGGTGATCAGCTTCCTCGGCTCTTCTGGGCGGAATAACCTCCTTCAATCCCCCGCTCTTAGCAACAGAGCTTTGAGGTCCTCGCATCGTAGGGGCTTCTGTATATTCTACATATCGAAAGCAAGGTGGAGCAGTTGGGGTTTCCTGCCTGGAATAAACCCGCCAGTCCGTTTTACTTTGGCGCAGAGCTTTGAGTTCCATGACAGTAGTCATGCGTGCGGCGCCATATGTGGAGCTTGCTATGTCTAATAGGGTAGGTTTCTAATGTGCAGATAAACTCTGTCAGCCTTCAAAAATGAAGTTTCCTTTAA